CCCCACAGCCTGTGGCCCCCTCTCTGAGGTACAGTAATCATTTCCTCTGATCATCACGTGAAGGGGCTTCCTCCTTCCCACCCCTTCCGCCCTCAAAGGGGCACTTCCTGTCCTTCTTCACCCCACCTTCAACATGAGGGTCTCAGAATTTCCACCTCAACCCCTTCTAGTGGGCAACATATTTTTTTTTGCATTCTGCACATATTTAAAAAGTTCTTCTACTCTAGTTTGTAGCACATGATTTCTCATTAAAGAATATTTGAAAAATGTAGGCAAGTTGGGAGATCAAGAAAAAGAAAAACAGCTCACCTAAGCTTTCGCTCTCCCCTTGCAACCAGTGTTAACATTTTCATGTTTTTTTTCTTCAAAATTTTTGCATGCACAGGTGTTTTTAGACATAATTATAATCATACAGCATAATACATTTCACACCCCACTTTTTCCACTTGTGATGTCATACTATCTTCTGGCTTTGTAACGAATTTTTTTTTTTACAGGCAGAGTGGACACAGAGAGAGAAAGGTCTTCCTTTTTCCGTTGGTTCACCCCTCAATGGCCGCTGTGGCCGGCGCACTGCGCTGATCTGAAGCCAGGAGCCAGGTGCTTCTCCTGGTCTCCCATGCGGGTGCAGGGGCCAAGCACTTGGGCCATCCTCCACTGCACTCCTGGGCCACAGTAGAGAGCTGGACTGGAAGAGGAGCAACCGGGACAGAATCCGGCACCCTGACCAGGACTAGAACCCGGGGTGCCGGCGCCGCAGGGGAGGATTAGCCTATTGAGCCGTGGCGCCGGCCATGGATCGTTCTTAAGGCCTGTGTTTATTTATCCTTGCCCTGTTTGTCAGACACTGAGGTAGTCCTCAAAATTTCACTATTGCATATAGCAAAATACTGCCTATTTTTCTATGTGAATCTCTTGATGTCTTGTTAGAAAAGACAATAAAGAAGACTATTCAAGGGTGGCCACTTGAATGATGCTTTGTAGCAGAGGAGAGAGATCAGCCCCCAACTCTCTCACAATGTCTTTTTGAGAGAAGATCATGCTCAATCCCATTTTTTTCCAATAAGCACTGTTGTTAAGTTCTTTCAACACTTTGGTGTGGTCATGGAATAAATTCCCACTTTTTCCCCTTAGTCCTGCTTCTTTTTGCTATACACAATAGGGTTATCATTTTAAGGGCTGATTCTTCATTTCAGTGCTTCTGTCTTATGTCCTTAGTTGGCTTTTAGGAAGTTGTGACCACTGTCCCCTTCCCTAGGTTTCATAGATAATGTGTGACTCTCCTGCTATGTGAGAATTACTTACCACGGCAAGCTGCCCCAGAGGGGTTTCACGGATAAGAAAGCAGAGGTTTAGGACTGGTGCTGTAGCACAGCGGGTAAAGCTAACTCTACCTGTCAAATACTACTAATTAAAAAAAAAGAGAGACAAAGCTAACTCCTTCCCTCTAGTCTACACCAAGATGAGAAGGACCCAGCCCTCCCACGACTGAGTCCGGGCTCACTCCTCATCTGCAGTCGAGGGTGGCTAGCAGAATGGGCATTCTGTTGATTCCTACCTGGTGTTATACTCACTGAAATCTGAAACTTCAGTCAAGTCTCTCATTTTTCTTGGCCTTTATTCCAATATCTGTAAACTGAATGTAAGTACCACAGACCACCTCTCTTCACAGGAGCCCTATGAAGGTCTATGGGACAAATTTACATAAAAGTAACCAGCCCCTGTAAGGGATTGTGAGATGGAGGGTGGGGGCTGAGCTGCGGTGGGTGAGGAGGTCCTGTGGTTGGGAAGTTCTGGCAGGTGCAACAGGGTAGTGGAATCTGAATGATATATATACATATGTTTCCAGTACAGCCGGGTAAACACCCAAGGTCTTACCTGGAAAGTCTGTGATCTTGCTTTAGGAACACTACAAATTAATTTGTGGGTTTGGTTTTACTTTGATAGAATATTGGGGGGCTCACACTCCTGCCTGAAGATTCACCTGGGTCTGTGCTGAAGGAGATAAAACAGTATAGCTTGGCAAACAAAATATCAAAATTTTGATTAAAGACAGAATCACTAGTATTGACTTTCCTTTTTCCCTTCAGTCTGATTTGATATGGCACTTTTTTTTTAAGTGATGAGGCTTTATTGGGGACAGGGCATCAGTCAGAACGGAAGGGACAGAGAAAGAGTGCCTAGTCACTCGGACTGGGGGAGAGTGAGGTTACATGGTTGAAAGGAGAGAATACAGCCGGCGCCAAGGCTCACTAGGCTGATCCTCCACCTGCGGCACCAGCACCCCGGGTTCTAGCCCTGGTCGGGGCGCCGGATTCTGTCCCGGTTACTCCTCTTCCAGTCCAGCTCTCTGCTGTGGCCTGGGAGTACAGTGGAGGATGGCCCAAGTGCTTGGGCCCTACACCCCATGGGAGACCAGGAGAAGCACCTGGCTCCTGGCTTCAGATTGGCACAGTGCGCTGGCTGCAACGCACCGGCCATAGTGGCCATTGTGGGGTGAACCAACGGAAAAAGGAAGACCTTTCTCTCTCTCTCTCACACTGTCTAACTCTGCCTGTCCAAAAAAAAAAAAAAAAAAAGAAAGAAAGAAAGAAAGGAGAGAATACACCTGGTACACCTGGGCAGGCCTGGCGGGCAGCTCAGCTGAGAGGCAGAGGGTTGAGCACCAAAATTCTTACTTTTAATGCCCTTGTCTGCTATTTCTACCACCTGTGTTAGTTCTGGGTCAATTTAGGCAGATTGATTTTCCTCCTCATTATGGTTCATATTTTCCTGTTTCTTTGCATGCCTGGTAGTTGTTTCTAGATGCCAGACCTTGTGAATCTCACCTTTTAGGGTGAAGGATATTTTTGTGTGCCTATATTTTTGAGCTTTACTATGGAATGTAGTTACTCAGAAATGATTTGATCGTTCCAGATCTCGCTGTGAACCTATGTTAGAATGAGTGCAATTTTAGTCTCGGGCTGTTTATTTTCCACAGTGGAGGCAAGAATTCCTACATCCTTTGCTCTGTTCCCATGCAGTTTTCTGTTCTGTCTTGGGGAACAGAGAGCAGTCCCAGACCAGGACAAGCCAGCTCCAGGTCCCTCTCATCCTTTTGGGTTCCAGTAGTTTCCCTGCCGCCTTTTGTCTGGGCAGCTGCCTCCTCTGGTTTTTAGCTGGGTGACCCTCACCACTATACTGTCCCTGTACCCCTACTTGACTCTGTCCAGCATTGCTGTCCTTGGCTGCCTTCCATCCAGGGACTGCTAAACCATCACTTCATGGATTCTTGAGCTGGTTTGGTTGTTTCATGCAGTAGAGTCAATCTAGCCCCTATGAATCCACACAGAGTAGAATTGGTAGAATGCACCATTTTTCTGCAGGTGCTCCCTGGTTATCTCTATGAACTCGCCACATTAGCCACTCGCCCTCCTGTGCAGTCTGCGGAATGCCTGAGCTGAGGGCTAGTAGATCTGGCACTTATTTACTGAACATTTTGATGTTCTGTTTTCAGGGATTTTTGTACTAGGTTTAATATTTAAAAGCGTAACATTAAAATGTTATTTGTCTTGATTGCAGAGTTTTCTAGTGCCCCTTAAATTTTGTGCCCTGGTGTGTTCTTCACTTGCTTGATCTGAGGCCCTGAGGTGGTACAGTGTCACAGCTGAGGTGGCATCAACACGGGTCACACACATATTGAGTCAGTGTTGGGAAAGCTCCTGGTTTTCACTTCTGGATCCCCTTTCAGTGTTTTTGCTCCCCACTCCACCCCCCCAGCACAGTGAGAATTAGGAAAGAAAAAAAAAAACTTTTCTCAATGTACACTGATTTTATTGAAATAAGAAACATCAGCAGTATTTGGCACTATGGTTAAGTCACTGTTTGAGACACCCATATTCCATATTGGAGTGCCAAGACTGAGTCCTGGCTACAACACTTCCTATTCAGCTTTCCGGAAGCAGCAGGTGACAGCTTAAGTATCTGGATCCCTGCCACCCATGTGGGAGACCCAGAGTGAGTTCCAGGGTCTTGTCTTCAGCCAGTCCCAGACCTGGCTGCTACAGGTATTTAGAGAGTGAACCAGCAGGTAGAAGATCTCTCTGTGTATCTGTCTCTCTTTCAATTAAACTGAAAATAAACAAAATTTTCTAAAAATTTTTGTTTTTTTTTCCCAGAAAATCACATTGATACATACGAACATTTCTAGTATCCAACACACAGTCCAGGAGGAGGCCAGCCTGACCCTCCTCCCACAGCTTCAGGGTTGAGGGGCTGCATCCTGCTTTTGGCTTTTGACTTTCATTTCCTCTCCAATCCGTCTTTACCCCTCAGCCTGCTCCCTGATTTTTCTCTTGCAAATTTATTTCCTTTGACTTTTTACTTTGGTCATCTTATATTGGAAGGCTTTCTTTCCCCCAGTATTTTCTCCTTTCACAAATTTAAACACACTTTTACCTACTCTACTTCACACCTCCAGCACTGGGACAGTGGATTCCATTTGGTCTCCTCCATTCAAGACATAAGTCAGGGAACCAATCAAAAGTAGCCCTCCCCAACTCCATCTCTTTTCACTTTAAAAAGAAGGAGCATTCTCAGGGGACAAGGATCATGTTTGTTTCATTTGCCAGACTGATCTTGTTCAAGTTCTCAGTAATATTTGTTAAGGAAGTTAAAGTATTTGAAAAGTTCCAGTAACCACCTCCTAAGTCCCACTCTCTGACTCCCAGTCTCCTGTACTAGGTCCAAAATCTGCTCTCTGGCTCCATTTCTCCATTGAGATGGGCTCCTGTACAAGCCTTAAGGCATAAGCTATTCTCTTGTAGCACAAGAACATAAATAAAGCCAGGCTTGAAGTCTTGGTCCTTGGTCAGGTACATTTCTAGTCTTCACCAATGGTGCCAGCCATCATTTGGGCCTGGATTCTCCATCCCTGTGTGCACTTTGGCTTTTAAGTCCTGTGGATCCAATACTAGCCTCTCTAGTGGTCAGGTCTGCTGTGGCTGTCCGTGATGAGCCACTTTTTCTTTTTCTTTTTTTCTTTTTTTTTTTTACAGGCAGAGTGGATAGTGAGAGAGAGAGACAGAGAGAAAGGTCTTCCTTTGCCGTTGGTTCACCCTCCAATGGCCACCATGGCTGGCGCGCTGCAGCCAGTGCACCGCGCTGATCCAAAGGCAGGAGCCAGGTGCTTCTCCTGGTCTCCCATGGGGTGCAGGGCCCAAGCATTTGGGCCATCCTCCACTGTACTCCCGGGCCACAGCAGAGAGCTGGCCTGGAAGAGGGGCAAGTGGGACAGAATCTGGCGCCCCGACCGGTTCAAGAACCTGGTGTGCCGGCGCCGCTAGGTGGAAGATTAGCCTATTGAGCCGCGGCGCCAGCCCAAGCCACTTTTTCAAGATGGTTTTTAACCAAGGATGGTAAGCTCAGCCCAGTGCTAGGCACAGTGAGCATGGGTGAGTCCATCAATAGATCTACATCTGCTTCTGCTGGACGTGCTGTTTTGGCCTTCCTGCCCTCCTAGCAAGCAGACTCTTGGCTTATTCTGATCTCCAAGCTCTGGGGAGAGATGAGACACTAGACTGGCTGGGAGCCATTGTTAATATGACAGGGGCTGTCATTAATACCTGTGACACTGATTTACATCCCCATTTCAACAAAGTCACTTCTAAGCTCTTTTCTTGGAGTTCTCTGACAAATTTTCAGCCGTATTTCTAAGAAGAAATGGTTTGAGAAAATTTCTGGACAGTGAGCAGAATTTTGAGTTCTTAAACCAGGATGATCATCAATGATAGTTTGTTCTATAAGAAGTCAAAGTTCCTCGTTAGTCCTTGATGCTTCTGATCAGATCACTGACGTCATTTGATAATTTTCTTTTAGGTAAAGACTTGATGGAGTACACTGCTGTCTAGATGACATTCTCATAGCTAAATTGCCTTGCTGTGTCTGGTGTCCCAGGCAGTGAGGGGGGATTCTCCACCTGCAGGCAGACATAAGGAAGCAGAGTGCTGGAGTCAGGTGGGGCCCTGGAACTTCCATCCCTGACACTGCTTTTCTGCAAGGCTCCCAATCTATGCTTTCTGCCACTGTTTAATCACTCTTAACCTAGAGAAACTATTCTTTCAGTTGAGTCCATAGTTTTCTGGCTTAATACTTAATGAATATTTAATGCTTAATACTTGCTGAATACTTAATATTTCCTGGTAATAATTCATCAAAAACAATCTTTGCTAAGTCAATTGCCTTCCTCATCATCCCCATCTTTTCAGATCTATTTTGGAGGGGAAGGGAAAGGGAACCGGAAGTTACCATTGCTTCTGCCATGTGTGATCTGTGAAGGAATAGGTCTTAAATCTCACCACATTAGTAGTATGACTGGCAGGGGGTGAAAGTCAGATGTAACATACCTAGAGCAAGGAAAAGGAGCAGAAGTCCCCTCTCCTACATTTTAGTGTCTCGGATCTCAGAAGCAAGCTGCAATCTCCTCCCCACCATCTTTCTCCTCCCAGGGACAGCCTAAGCCATGGCTTTTTCTTCATTCATGACCTCAGTCAGAAGCTTTCTGATTTTCTCTGTCATTCCTATCCAGAACCTTCTTCTCCTCTATTTCCCCCCCATTTAACTTGTAAAACACAGTTCTCTTCTACTCCCCATATCCTTACATAACTCTAAGGAAATATCTCGGGCATCTACTAAGGATATCTTTTAATATCAGAGAAGATGAGATTCCTAGGACCAAAAAATGTTAGCCTAAATGTGAGCCAGGAAAAGGGATAAGAAAGTAAGATGAAATTCAAGTCTAAAATATTTTACCTTTCTTGGTATCTGCACAGTAGAATATAACATATTTGCTGGATCTTCCTCTGGGCTAGTATTCTATCAAAAAACAAGCAACAAACAAAAGAAATCATTACTCATTCCCTGAGTCACATGGACAAGGACACAGACCTTACTGCAGACAGAGGAAAGCAGAGGTGGGAGAGATAGTGAGAGGAAAGAGGCAGTTCTGGAATAGAGGTGGGTAAGTGGGAAGGAAGTGCTCTTTTGGTGACTGCTGTTTTAGTAATCATTAATAAAGTTTTCAGGGTGCCATTACATTATTCGTATTCATACTTTGATTTCTTTTTTTTTGTTTATTAGCTTTTTTAGCTGTGTTGTATTTAAATGAATTTCAAGAATTTATAGGGGCCGGTGCTGTGTTGTAGCGGGTAAAGCCACCTCCTGCAGTGCCAGCATCCTGTATGGGCACCAGTTTGTGTCCCAGCTGCTCTACTTCTGATCCAGCTCTCTGCTATGGCCTGGGAATGCAGTCGAAGATGGCCCAAGTCCTTGGGCCCCTGCACCTGCGTGGGAGACCCGGAGGTGGCTCCTAGCTTTGGATCTGCACAGCTCCAGCCATTGCAGCCATTTGGGGAGTGAACCACAGATGGAAGACTCTCTCTCCTTCTCTCTCTCTCTCTCCTCTTCTCTCTCTCTCTCTCTTTCTCTCTGCCTCTCTGTAATTCTGCTTTTCAAATAAATAAATAAATATTAAGGAAAAGAAAGTTCTAAAAAAGAATATACAAGATGTCTCATCAGCTACGAGCCTCCTAAGGTGGCTAAAAGATAATTTTAAATAATTGTGCTAATGTTGCAAATAAACTTTTCCAACAGTCAAAGGTCCCTTATGGAAAATTGGTAAGTATGACTGATGAGACAAAACAAAGAGCAACAAGAGCTCTTTTCTCACTGGAGAAAAAATACACTGTGTTGGTTAAGTTTATTCCTGAGCATTGGGGAAGTCCTGGCACCTCCAGGAGATGCATCTGAGGCAAAGGAAGAGGGAGGATGTGATCAAGTGAGAAGCCAGAGAAGGTAGAGAGCACAAAGCAGACACCTTTGGGAAGAAGGAAGCGACTTCCTAGAACACCAGTGGCTTGGAGGGCAATGTCTCCTTTTTGCAGGGGTAAATATAAGTCAATTTGTAGGTAAAAGTAAGAAGGTATTAACTCATCAAGGAATACCAAAGGCTGAAGCACAATTGGGATTTTGCAGTGCCGATATATTCTTATTTCTTTGTTAAATGTGCCGGTGTGGAAAAAGGGCTCCATGACTTCTCACAGGTCCACCCAGCCTGGAGAACAGTGATTGGTTCTGAGATTTTTCATTTACCTCCTCATCTCATGTCTCCAAGTTGTCTTTTGTTACATGGGTTTCTCTAAATTTTACTATTATGATTTTCTTTTTGGAGAGTTTCCTTTGAATTATGTTTGGGCTCACTTCAGCTTGGTGAAGTGGGAACTTGGGAAGCCTTGAGCGTAGACCCAGAGTTCCCGTGGGTCCTCTGCTCCTGACAGCTCTTTGAGTTACCTCAGAAGAAAAGGCATCTCTGGAGCAACTGATCTACTGACATCATGACTAAATATCATGCCAAACTCACACTTCTCTACCCACGGCCTCATGCAAAGTGAAGCAAGCCTTTTGAGTGGCAGTTGTGAACCATGCAGGGGGAGAGATGACTCATGTAAAGGTCACAGTATAAGCATTACTGGTTGGGTCAGAACCAGGGGCTCCAAAGACCATCAACTTCTGCCCAGAAGACAATATGTCAAGTCTTAGGGGAGACACCAAGTGCAAACCCAACTGGTGCATTGGGTTTTAATAGCTATAGATGCTTATCTCCCCTCCCCATTCCCATGTTGCCCAAACTCATGGGAAAATCTCAAGCAAAACAAAGAGAGCTTCAGAGAGGAAGATCATGTCCCAGAAAAAATGCAGAAGGACTCACGGCAGGGTAGGAGATTGTGACATATTCTGCATTCTCTCCTGAATGTGGGCAGAAGTTAGGAATTTCCTGTTGAGAATCCATTCTCTTCTTCTTTTCCTTGGCCTCTAAAATCAAGTAGGGTGAAAATCAAAGCCAGGCTCTTACCCCTCGCCAGCCTTACAGGCCCACCATTACAGCTGGCTGGCCTACTCAAGGTGTGTAACCATCCCAGTTTCTCTGTATCTTAAAGTTTTACTGGGGCAGGGTACTTTGGTGCTACAACTGGGAAAATCCAAGAAACTATGATGAATTAGTCACTCTCACCACTTGACTCCCTAATCCCTGGACCAAGGTAGCCAATGTGGGAAGCAGAGGTCAGAAGTGCTCCCAGAGTGCTTTCAAGAGGAGAGAGATCTCAAAGCCTTCAGTTCACACCCAATGGACGCTTATATCCTTACCCCAGCCTCCCACATGGACAGTATGGGTGGGAGCCCAAGAAGACAAGTTAGCAGGGTCCAACGTGAAGCAAGACAGAGGACAACTTATCCAGGAGGAGTGTGTCTGGACTCGGGTGGAAAGTAAAGAGAAGTTGTAGGGTTGATAACGGAAAGGACTGGAACTGGTTTGGAGGATCTGATAAGAACAGGGACAGGGACAGGAAGGTCTGATTGGAAGATGCTGGTCTGTGGGACCTCAGAGTCAGAGGCATTTGCCTCCTTGTCCTGGGGGAAGGAGAAGAGTGGAGACTGAAGAGGACCCTGTCATCAAAAGAGAAGGGAAGATGTCCAGTGTTCTTTCTGCTCCATAACTGAGAAGTGCAGGCTGTCACTGGGCTTCTTGATCGCAGGGACTTTGGTGGCTTCCTCTCTGCATCCCCAGTGCCTCCACCAAACCTGGCACACAGCTCAATATGTACTTAAGGAAAAAATGAGGGGTGAGGGTGAAGACAAAAGTCATATATACTCTACCTTTTCCTCTCTCTCTTCGTATGTTCAAAAATACTAGCACTAGTACGAGGAGACAGAGCAGGATGGGCACCCACAGGAGATACATGTAGACAATGAAGGAATCTGGGTCACCAGCAGCACCTTTAAAGAGAGATTGGGTAAAGGATTAGAGAGTGGTGAAACATTAGTAGGGAACACGGCCCAACTTTTAGAGCACCCACCTCTTTCCTCCCAATCTGATGTCTTCCCAGTGGTCCCCAGTTTTCAAATGAGGCCTGTCCCCCTTGGAGACCAGGAGCTAAAGAAATTATAGTTTCTGGGACCAGTAGCTTCGGAAAGAGAGGAAAGACAGTCACCTTCACAGAGCTTCTGGACAAAGATGGGTCTGGAGGAGTTGAAGCTGACAGGGTTTCTGGCTATGCAGATGAAGGTCATGTCTACCTCTCCCAGTGTCCAGGATATGGGGAGGATGGAGCCATTATGGGATACATTGGCTGCCTGTTCCAGGGCCCTCCAGCTATAGGTCACATCTTCTGCTTCTTGTTCCATGGAACATGTCAGATTGGTCATGCAGGTGCCATTCTTATTGCTCTGCAGAGCCATGGTGACCGTGGGCTTTGACAGGTACTCTGTGAAAGATAAAGGACAACCAGGAATGGAAAATGTGCCTACGGTTCTCCTTGCTCCTGAATACTTTAGACTTGACTCTCCCTGGGGCAGCTCCAGAATAGAGAGAAAGCAGCAATTAAGAGATAGTTAATATGACAATAATTATTATTATACATCACTGGGCAAGCAGACCTAGATAGTTCTCTTTCCCAGATAAGAGCTACATAAGTAACGATTGTATAACAACAGCAAAAATGCAGAACTTCAGCTTCATGTGACTTCTGCCATCTTGTCCATGACCGCCATCTTGCCTTTAGGTGACCTGAGGGAGTACTTACATGCCAGGCCTGTTTTGTTGATACCAGGCCCTAGAGTGTCCCTTATCTAATGCCTGGAATGTTAATATTTCTTGAGAAAGTCCAGGTGCACTTAGGCTAGCCATGGGAAACCTTTATCTTAAACAACTCTTTTCTCCTGTCTTGTGGCACAGAGATCCATGTATCTTGCAGGCTCCTAAAACAACATTTCTTTGAGTGCTCCCAATAAATTTTATTCTTTATAATTTTGGATTTGTTCTCTTTCTTCAGTCTCCTGGCACCATCTGCCTTTGGAGACTGGTTCTCATATATTGGGTTTTTTGGAAAAAAAACTAAAAATAATAGAAATGCATCACGAATGCTGCTCTGTGGGGCCTGCATTGTGGTGCAGCAGGTTAAGCCCAGACGCTTGTGATACCAGCATCCTGTATCAGAGTGCTCTTTTGGGTCCCAAGTCCCAACAGCTCTGCCTCAGATTCAGCTCCCTACTCATGAATCTGGGAAATAAGCAGAAGATGGCCCAAGTATGTGGGCCCCTGCCACCCAAATGGGAGATCCAGATGGAGGTCTGGGTTCCTGGCTTTGACCTGGACTGCTCCTGGCTGTTGTGGCCATTTGGGGAGTGTACTAGAAGATGGGAGATTCTCTCTCTCCCTCTCTCTCCCCCTCTCCCTCTCCCTTTCCCATCTCCTCCTTTTCCCTCTCCCTCTTCCTCTCTCTCTTCCAGTGTCTGTGTGTCGTGTGTGTGTCTCATGCTTCCCTCTGTCTCCATCAGTCTGCTATTCAAATAAACAAATCTTTTAAAAAACAAAAATAAAGAACACCACTCCACTTACAAATATAGCTGCACAGCAAGCACTCACACAATGCATTTTTAGAAGTCAGCTAATTTTATACTTTTTAAAGGCTTCCTATTCCCTGTTCTCTGGCTTCCCTGGAGAGACTTTGATCTTTACTGTCCAGAAGAGAATACTATGGGAACAACGCTTCTTGTCCCCCTTGCTGTCTTTACCTCATCTCCTCCTTCAGACTGGGCAATTCATTCATTGCTGAGATGATCCGAGTGTGACTCCCATGGCCTATCTTTTTCTGCTTACAGGTTTGAGCTGTGAAAGACTCCTGTTCATATGTGCTTTTGAAACTCTTTATGTCCCTTCTCCAGCTAGTGTGCTTGGAGAATGAACATCTTGTCTTCCCTTTAGCTGTGTCTGTATGGAAGACTCACAAAAGATCTTCCAAAAGTTCACAGAAAAGGCAAATTATGAAAAAAAAACTATACATGATTCCAGTTTTTTGGTGTGTACCAAGGTAAACTTATCTTTTAATTCCATTTTTCTATGAGCTTTCTTAAGTACCTTTGGGTGAGGTGGATCAAGGTATCTAGCCTATCTCCTACAAGCAATTCTAGAGACCCATTTCCTGGTATCTCTGATATTACAGTTCAAATAGCTGTTCTCCTTGTAGCTGGTTGATTAACTTCAACTTCCCTGGATGGGCTCTAAGATCTAGATTTACGGTAGCAGAAAGCATTTCTCCCCTGTTGCTATTTTTTAAAAATCTGCTCTTTAAAATTTTGTTTGTTTATTTATTGATTTATTTATTATTTGGAAGGCAGAGAGATAGGGACACAGAGAGATCTTTCATCTGCTGGTTCACTTCCCAAATGCCCATAATAACTAGATCTGAGCAAGGCCAAAATTGGGATCCAGAAAATTAATCTAGGTCTTTAATGTGGGTGGCAGGGACCCAAATATCTGAGCCATCATCGGCTGTCTCCTAGGGTGCATATTAGCAGGAAGCGGGAATTGGAGGCAGAACTGGTGCTTGAATCCAGGTGTTCCAATGTGAGATGCAGGCAACAGCCTAACCACTGCCCTGCGTTGGAAACTGAGTCATCTCACCATAGACACGCAGCCCATACTCTTGGGTGATGGGAAACTGGAATGATGAGCTGTGTATCTCCGCACGGTAGACACCCGAGTCATTCTTCATGAGTTTGTTGAGATTCAGGAAGTAGCCTCCACTTGGGATGTACATCCTTTCCTTGTTACGACTTTGAGACACTATGACAGTGTCATTGCCGTCTCCCTCAGCTGGCTGTATGGTGACAAGAGTGATGGAGTTGAAGGTCCAGACAATACTGTCAATTGGCTTCACTGTGAAATTCAGATGAAAAGTCACAGATTCACCCTGGGCACAGACCAGCTCCTTCCGTACTCCTGAGGCTTCCAACACTGCAGATACAAAAACAAACAAACAAAAAACACAAAATAAACCCAAATTTGTCCTTGCCACTAATAACTCAGCCTTTAGGTATGGGGAAGAATCTGATAAAATGTCTTAGCATAACCCAACCAGGCCTCACTCATATGACAGCATTGAGATTAGAATGTTCTGCCTAACAGGAGTGACTGTAGATAACCCCATCTCAATCACAGGGCCATCCGGCTGAAAAGACTAAGCTCTGAGGAAGACCAGAAATCCCAGCTGCATCCTTGACAGGTTACTGGGGGATGTGGGGACAAGTGGAGAAGTTACTGCCCAAGTTTCCCTTAGTTCTTCCAGATTGCCCTGGAGAGAGCTGAGTTTGAAACTGTTGAAGAAGGTCTGCTGGACCTGGGGGCAGTTCTTCTCATGCATGGATCAGGACACTGGGAGGTGAGCTTCATGATCCTAATGATAGTGATAATTTAAAAGGTTGAGGATGATTTATCTTTCCCTCTTGTGATAGAGTGGATTCAAGGTCATCCCCCCAAGAGGTTCTCATTCACTTGCATTCTAATATGCTTGAGTGTGAAGGGAAAAATGAGTGACAAAGGAACCTAACAATATTTCCAAGTTAACTTATGATACTCATCTTAAACTATTAAGAATTGCAGTAAGATTTAGTTTTCTCAAGCAATTTTTTCCCACTACAATATTGGTTCATTTCAAAGAACAGGACTTAACAAGAACCCATCACCAATTATATAGCTCCAAGTGGAAAGCATTTAAGAACTGATGAAGAAACTTCCAGAATTGGGCAACTGAGCATTTCAGGAGAACAGGAATGGAAAATGAGCATCTTGTATCTGACTAAATCTGATGGACAAATGCTGGGGACAGCGCAGAGCGTTGAGAGAATTTAGACTGGGACTAACAGCTTAAAGCACCTACTGTGATCTTGTTTAACTCTTACCACCACCCTTTGGGGAAGTGTATGTTATATGCCCATCTTACAGATCAGGAGCCTGCGGCACAATGGATTTAAGTGATGTAATTCAAACTATATAGTAAGTGGCAGAGCTCACATCAGGAGCCACAGGATCAAGACTATGAAGTGCATATTTTATGCAATGCCCTTTATAATGAAATGAAAGAGAAAGGGAGAGTTTATTCAAGGTTCACAGATATGGCAAAAGTAAGACTAAATTCTTAGAGATGCTCTCTCAAAAATACAAAACCCGAAGTTATTTTTTCTTTTACCTTTAACGTAATGTATCAGGGTGAAATTATTTTAAAGAATTTTTATTTATTGTCATGGAAAGCACAAAAGGAAAAAACAAATGAAATATTAAAAAGCCAACAGAACAGCCAAGTTCCAGGATTGTGACCTCTGTATGAGTATTATAATGATACTACAGCAAGACTGCAATAGGGCTTTCATGGGTCTACACACTTGTGCATCTCTTAGCTCCTTTTCCATTAAAAATAATTAAAATCCTATTTTATATCTAACTTGATTAAAAAAAAGAATGTATCCAGGTTGGGTTCTTTTTATAGTCATCATTGTTGTGTTATTTAGTTTTCTTTTGATTACAAGAGAAATTAAAAATCAAAACTATTGTGGGACCTAGGCACTTATCTAACTGGCCCTGTGAGATTGGCTGAGTTTTCAAGATATGTTTAATTTCACTGTTACAATAACATTGTTCACCACTCCAGCACCAATGTAACACTGTTCCTCTTCCAGAAAACAGACAAATTCTTATATGACCTACCAAGATATCCAAAATTACTTTAAAAGAAGCATTTCCTTTGTTCCTATTAAAACTCAAATATTCTGACCAGCGATCCCAAATAACAATAACTGCCCTGTATTAGAGGTTCACTCTGTGCCAAACATGTAGTGTAAAGATTATAACTAATACTTAAAGCAATCCATCAAATTAGGCATTTTGATTCTTTGACATAGTAGGCAGCAACCCATACAGCCTACAGGCCAAATTTGGTCCTCCACTTGTTTGGATAAGCAGATTTTTTTTTGAACACAGCCATGCCGCTTCATTTATGGATCATCTAGGGCTGCTTTTGAACTACAAAGGCTGAGTTGAGAAGTTGCAACCCAGACCATATTGCCTGCTAAGCCTAAAATACTATTTGTATCTTTATAGAAAAGTTTGCTAAATCTTGAATTTATGAAAAAATGAGATGCTTAAAAAACCAAGTAACTAACCCCAGGGCACAAAGCTGGTAAGTTATGATTTGAGGATTTAACTCAATGTTATGGTAACTCAAAGACTTGGACACTTGCCATGATGACTCAGTTTGAAGGACCCCTGGCATTTGTATCAGCTCCAGCCCCTTACCTCGCTTACCTTTTCCAACCCTTTAATGGGCTAAAGTGTCAACTCCAAAGCTCTTGGGCCCCACTGACCCTAATTTCCCCCTTTATATACTTTGGTGACCTTCCTTTAAGCATAAAAAACCCTTGCCAGTAGCCTACCATGGGGAAATTTGACGTACCCTAATATTGGCCTACTCCCTTGTTTATAGATTTTTTGTTAAATTTATTTCTGAAAATACTTATTTCTCTTCCTGAGTAAATATAATTTAGGAGCTGATTCCTATTTTCAAACATCCCCCATCACTATAATTTATCAGTCAGTACACATATGTTTTGAATCCCTCGAGCCTTTATCGATTCATCCTGCTAACCCAATTTTTCAGAAAGTTGTTTTTCCTACTTTCCTATCAACAAGATCAGCTTAGTTTGTTGACTGCTGTCTCTTTGATCATCTCAAGAGCTGTCAAAGAAATTTCAATGTGATAGACAAAATCAATTTTATTTTGAATTATGGATTTATTGGTTAATGGATTCATTCTTTTACCTCAACAAAAGAATGGAAAATGTGTGTATTTTGAAGTCAAATAGAAATTATCACTTGTCCCCAAGTGATAAAATCCTCGCACTCAGGCAAATTTCAAGTAATTTCATTTTCACATTAGGTTTTAGGGAGGCATTTAAGGTGTGCATTAATTTGTTTCCTGTTGTAGGCTTACTTAGCCTATAGTTTGAAGAGTCTCTAAGTCCAACTTGTGCAGCCCCATCTGGCCTCTAGTGAGGGCCCCCTTGGCTGAGTCACAACACGGGGAAGCAGAAAGAGGACTGCTCCATGCAGAAAGGGTCAAGTCAGTTGGCCTCACTTTGTGAAAGAGCTTAGTCTGGAGAGATCTAACTCACTCCATGAGACCAGCATTAACTCCTTCTAAGGACAATGTTCCCATGATCTAATTCCTTCCACTAGGCCACACCTTTAAATGTTCTACCACCTCAATACCACCAAACAGGGGAGTGATCTTCTAGTAACGAACTCTGGGGAACAAACCACATGCAAACCATAGCAAGGTGGGCAAGTGGCCAAACTGCTAGGATGTAGCTTTAATGTGTTAGTGTGTGTGCATGCGTCAAGAACAATCACTCACTGCTCTACACCTGGTGCTGTATTCACAGGGTAACTGCCAAGAGACATGAGTCATGTGGGGGTATAAGAACATTTCTCCAAATTCCTTGTGCCTTGTTAGAATGACATTGGAGAGTGATGCAGGGCAAATTGTCAGCAGAGCCTCTGGAGAGTGCATTTTCCCATCTTAAGGGGACTTTAGAGTAGGAAGCAGAGACTGAAAGCAGGAAGTACCTTTTTGCTATTTTCTAAATATGGCTTTAGAAGATAGGGGGCGGGTTGGTTAGTCCTGAACAGTTTTGTTTCTTCTTCCTAGGTGACTGGAAAATGGGATCCAAAAATAAGAGACTTGTCATTTCAGCTGTCCACGCTGACTTAATTTAGGAGACAGTCACTAACTAACTAACTCTATGTGTCATGAAAAGGGAAATAACAGACACTGTGAGAATGTGCAATGGGGAAGGGACTTAACATGACCCATGGGATCAGAAGACTGGAGAATGAGTGGCTATGACATCTGCCTACAGCACCGAGAGGCCTGGGTCCCATGAGTCTCATCCACTTTCCTCAGATGTCCACCTCCACCCCCAAGCCAGTGGAGTGAAGGTTGTAACTTGCCTCCTCCACATGCATTTCACCATTTCCTCATTCTGTAGCAGCTAAATGGTTTTGGAAAGCCTGACGGGCGCCCAGCTCCAGTGGTGGCTCTCCTTCCTTGGGCACAGTAATTAGCTCAGGGGCATCATGTGACCTGGGTTGGTCATATCTGAGAGAAGCCCAGGATTCTGTTCTAAAGCCAGGATGACAATATAGTGCTGTGAGAAGACATGAAGCTGCAATTGACACCCACTGTGGTCTCCAGACAGGTATGCAGGCTTCCTCCCTCTCCCGATTTTGGGTTCACTTTGTACCTCTCATTATTGTTTGGGAGTTATCCTCTCCTATGTCCACCTAAATCTTATTCAAAACCTTAAAGACCCAGTGCAAGGCCTTTCCTTGAGGAAATTTCCAAGTCTTTTTCACTCCTATCCCCTGCAAATTCACCACTGAAGTCACTCCATTCTCACTTTAAATTCTCCAGAAAGAAATACACCTCTGGGTACTGATGCATGTATCATTTTGCTGCAAATGAGTCTTCTAGCCTTAGGGTCCAGACCGTCCAATGAGAGGTCATGGAATCCAACCAAGACAGGGGTGGAGATGCCCTTTCCTCTCCACCATGCAACTGTGTGGGAAAGGGCTGTAGCCTAACCTGAGTTCTATTCTGGTTCCTCCATAATCGCCAGTCCAGCAACAAACACTAGGCTGAATCAGTTAAACAGACAGTATCTCTCTTGCTCCTCAGAGCAATCCCATGAGACAGATGCTAAAGCTCAACTTGTGGACAAGAGCACTGCTGTTGAGTGACTTTCCCAAGGCCACAAGCAGAGAAGTGGCAGAGACTGGTCAGTCAGCTCCTTTACCTCAAGGCCTACGTTCTTTCCACTACTGGCTCACTAAGCATTTTGAATGCCAGTTTTCTGATCTCCCATAGGGGAAAGATAACAACTTTATTTACCAGGAATTTGGAGAGGATGAAGTGTGAATATGGACTTGAAAACTTTTTTGAGAAGTACTGAGCACTTCCCAAGAGAGTGGGAGATGGAAGTCAGGGACAGGGAGTGGGGTCGTGAGAGCCAGACTTTGGGGAAGCTTCCAATGTTTTGGTCTCATTTCTGCGAGGATGACTGAAAGTGAGAAAAGGTGATTTCCCTAACCTGCTTTGGATGGCTTCTCAGAAAGTGATCGGAAGGCCAGCCTGGCAGCAAGAAGCCCACGGTCAAACTGCCTTTGGAGGAGAAGGGAGCTGAGTAGGAGGCTCTCTGCTGTCCATCCCGGTCATGCTTGGATGATTTGGGCATTGGGAAAGTCAGATCTGAAATACAGTAAAAGACAAGGACAACACTCTTCTCCCTTGTCATCTCCCTTTCCTCTTGGTTGTCACCTCCCCTCCTCGTCCTGTTCCTTGGAGGCTCAAAGATTGAGTGGAGGGAAGCAGCCAAATTACAAGGAAGGAGCAACATCAGTGCAGCTAGAAGCAAGGGGGTTGTGGCCCAAGAGGAAGTCTTTAGGGTGAAGAGGGCTAAAGCCCATCTACTGCTCGCTTGTCCGGTCTCCAAGCCCCTCTTTGCACACATGATGCACCACCAGCATGCACCTGTGCACCATGGCTCCATCCTCATGGAAATCAAAGCTGGAAGGAAACCTGGGCACTCCTTACTCCAGACCCAGTTGGCGGATGAGGAGGCTGAGGCTCAGAGGGCTGTGGTAACAGACTCTCTAAGTCAGTAGAAGGCCAGGATCAAGAAACAAGGCTCCTAAGGTAGGACTTCCCAAACCGTGTCCCCTGCTCCCTTGGAGTCTGTGGCTTACTGTATTTCTGGGACAGAGTTACAACAGGGGTTACCAAGCAAAGACTATGAAACTTCCTCTCCATCAGAGTGGCATCAAGTCAATACATTATGGTCACTTGTGTTTATCAACTACAGTTAATTATCATATTTGTTTCTGAATAAAATTTCACTTCATAGAAGGAAACCACTGCTCAATAACAAAACAAAACAAAAAGATTTTAAATCTACTGCTCCTTACTCAATTTCTTCTAAACTATCATCCCTTGGGAAAACACCATAAATTAATGTCAGGTGCGACACACACAAAACAGAGGCTCACAGGTGTCCAGATTCTCTACACACTTTTCCCAGCAGTCCCACCCCACCTACTACATTCACACTCAAGTTATCCAGCACTCTGCCCCTCACTCATTGCCTGCCCCTTGTCTGTTTCTTCTGTTTTTTTTTTTTTCCCAAAAAAACCTCTTAATACTCCCACACAACCTGTTTTTCTGCTCTCCTCTTATTGTCTCCTCCTCAACACAACTATCTTATTTAATTATCAAAGGGTACATTGGGGAGGAGCAGGTTATTATGCTCATTTTCCAGATGACAATACTGAGGCTATGGGAGCAGCTTGATGACCCCTCTGAGCCTGGACAGGATGATTCCATGTTGCTGCATCCACAGTCCCAAAACAGAGCTACCTGTTTTTCTTGGGTCTTTCCAGTTCCTACCTTGAGTTCATGGACCCAAAGAGGGAAGAAATCCAATGGACTCTACCCATAGAAGATTCAGCTCAAGGCACAGTTACTGAGCACCTCTCTAGTGTCAAGTACAGTGTTAGGCAGTTTGGTGTGATGAGAAGAGCATTAGTTTTGGAAACTCAATCTCTCCTCTGCCTCCTAATAGCTGTGTAATCTTGTCCAAGAAACTTGATCTCTCTGTGCCTGTTTCCCTGTCTGCCTCACAGACTTCTAAGGAGATTATTTGAAAAGCACTCTGAATACAGCAGGAGCTAAATAAATGGTGATCACTATTATGATTAGTTTACATTTTTTTTTTATTTTTTGACAGGCAGAGTGGACAGTGAGAGAGAGACAGAGAGAAAGGTTCACCCTCCAACGGCCACCGCGGCCGGCGCGCTGCGGCCGGCGCACCGCGCTGATCCGATGGCAGGAGCCAGGTACTTCTCCTGGTCTCCCATGGGGTGCAGGGCCCAAGCACCTGGGCCATCCTCCACTGCACTCCCTGGCCACAGCAGAGAGCTGGCCTGGAAGAGGGGCAACCAGGACAGAATCCGGCACCCCAACCGAGACTAGATCCCAGTGTGCCGGCGCCGCAAGGCGGAGGATTAGCCTAGTGAGCTGCGGCGCCGGCCCGATTAGTTTACATTTGATATCTCATTTACAACATCACAATAAGTCTGCAAGTTGGAGTTCATCATCTGTTATGCACTTGAGAAGGGTGAGGCTCAGTAGTTTGCCCACAATAACACAGCTACTAAATCACTCCCAGGGTATCCTTGCCCAAGACTGGTCCTTTTCTACTGCTCTCTCCACTGGAGGTTCTGGGACAATCTCTGGCTCCTTTCAGCTATAAGAGGAGAAGTACCACAAGACTGCACTCAGTCCCCTGGAGCAGGGCAGGGGAGGGCCCAGGGACAGCTTTTCATGTTTGCTCCCTCTTGTGCACAGTGCAAGTTTCAGGTGGGCACCTGGTTCTTTGGAAAGTTCTGCCACCCTCCCCCACCTCACCTTTTTCAAGTTCCATTTCTGATCACCACTTCCGTTTATGGAGTAATTTTACAGAGATAGCCTGTTCCAGGACCACCTGCTGAGAACCAGGTGCTCCCTAAAAATGGAAACTTCTGATGAATTCAAGGGGTGTGAGTCTGCTGATGCTGCCCACTTCATGAGGCCAAGGGACAGGGAGGAAAGAACTGAGAGTTCTGGCCACCTGTACAGTCGGGCAGATGACTCCGGGTGGGTGTGGAGTGCACATCAGGAACAGGGAGGCAAGTCCTCTAAGAAAGACCACATAGAACCTCCCCCTAAGTTTGATGACAGAAGAGACATTGCTCCCTTCCGGGGCTTCTGATCCTTTCTGAGAGCCAGAGAATGACAAAATCTTCAAAGGCTAAAGTAGCTGTGACAGGTACAGGAAAGTCCTGTTTGTCATAAGATTAAATTTAAAGTGCCTATGGTAAGAGTTGGTTTCTAAGCAGAGACTGATTAGATTGCTTGAGTCGAGAGAAAAATTCGAAGGGTTTCTTCCATGATATCATTTTTACATCTATACATTAAAATAGACTCAGGGAAATATTGAAAACATTTATATATAATATATTTATAAATAACATCATTGTCAAAGGGAGGGAGGGTTGGAAGAGAAAGACTCTGAAGCCCAAAGAAGCTTTGACATTCCTCCACTGATTTGTAGCAGAATATGAGTTAGAACACAAGTCTTCCAGATCTCAGCACCATTTCCTTCATCCCTCTGTTCCCAGGACCATCAGGAGGGGAGTGGTCCCCAGAGCCATTCCTTTACTTCTCCCTCCAGCCTTTTCCTGCTCCCTCTGTGGTTCAGAGGACAGAGGTTGATTTAAAAAAATAAAAATAAAAAAGGAGAGCTACGGAGAGCAAAGCCTCCTGAGGCAAGCCAAGGACCACGGTCAACCCAGGAACCTGGAGCTACACTTCAGGGCAAGGAAGACAGGAGAATGGGAGAGGATCTGGCTGGACTCACCTGAGCGCTGGCAGAGGAGAAAGAGGAGCATGATAAGTGTAGGGAAACCAGCCATATCGTTCTGTGGATCTCAGCCACGAAAGGGCACACAGTTCCCTCTAATTGGGCTCCAATCTTGTCATAGCTGAGTAGGAGGGGTCATAGGACTGGAAATGCAAATGAGTCATCTCTTTTTTTTATACATTACTGACAAACATGTGAAAACAGGTTTTTTTTTATATCAAGGATGGGAAAAATGAATTGAACCCCAAATGTGATGAAATTCCATAAAGAATCAGACTTGGGGAGGTCTGGGGGAAATATAGACCATGTTGTCTGCTTTCTTGCTAAGCCACATAATCTCTCAGAGACTTAGGAAAAAAAGGTTAACTGAGGGACACTGGGAATAATGATATTTATTGAGACATCTAAGTGATAGAAACTTTATTAGGAGTATATGCTTTCTTTTTTATTCCTTATAATAATCTTGTGAGTGACAGATTGCCATAAATTCTGTTTTACATATGAGAAAATAAAGATTTGGAGTATATTACAACAAAATCAAGGAGTTGTTTCAAACAGAAGAAATTATTATTATGAGACTAAAGGAAAGCTACAGAGTAGGAGAAGATGTTTGCAATGCACATATTCTATAAGGATTTTATATCTATAATATATAAAGAGGTTATAATATATAAAGAGGTTCTATAAATCAATAAGAATTATACAGACAATCCAGATCAATAAACTCAAATCAGACTTTACCAAAAAAAAAAAAGATAGCCAAATGTCCAATAAAGAGAAAACACTAAGAAAATAATGCAAATGGGAAAAGTTAAAAGGTTAACAGAGGTACTAAAATAGAATTCAAGAATCTTTCCAATAATAATAATTTTTAAAAAGAGAAGAAAGGAGAAATGGTAAAACCAAAAAGAGAGTGATCAAGCATGAAGCATAGTAAAATGTGTGGCAGGTGTTTGATCTAGCAGTGAGGATAGTGGTTAACATGCTGCCCACATCCTATATCAGCATACACGGGTTCAAGTCCTGACTCTGCTCCCAATTTCAGCATCCTGTTAATCTGTACTGCAGAAGGTAGCACACAACAGTTCAAGTACTTGAGTCCTTACTACTAACATGGGAGATCTAGATTGAACTCCTGGCTCCTGGCTTCAACCTGGCCCAACCTCAGCCATTTTAGACATTTGGGGTTTGAATCAGTGGATAGGAGCTTGCTCTTTCTGTCTCTCCACTCCCCCCAGACACACCCCTTCACCTCTCAATTAAAAAAATAACATAATGGTAGACTTAAATGCAACTTTATAAATAATTGCACTATGTACAAACAGACTAAATACTTAAAAGGCAAAGGTTGCTAAAGTGGATTTTAAAAACTAAGGTTGAACTATATGCTGTCTACAGAGATGCACTTTAAATAGAAAGATACAGATGGGCATGAAATTAAATGGATGGGGGCCGGCGCCATGGCTCACGTGGTTAATCCTCTGCCTGTGGCGCTGGCATCCTATATAGGCACTGGGTTCTAGTCCTGGTTGCTCCTCTTCCAGTCCAGCTCTCTGCTATAGCCTGGGAAGGCAGTGGAGAATGGCCCAAGTGCTTGGGCCCCTGCACCCACGTGGGAGACCAGGAAGAAGCACCTGGCTCCTGGCTTCGGATCGGTGTAGCTCCAGCCATGGCAGCCATTAGGGGGGTGAATCAACAGAAGGAAGACCTTTCTCTCTGTCTCTCTCTCTCTCTCACTGTCTAACTCTTTCTGTCAAAAAAAAAAAAAAAAAAGAAAGAAAGAAAGAAAGAAAGAAATCAAATGGATGGATGAAGATATATCACTCATCCCTTAGGCATGAGAATGCTGGAAGGGCTCTATTATTATTGGGAAACAGTAGATATAAGGGTCTCATAAAAATGAAAAAGTTAATTATTATAAATGAATAAAAATGTGCATACTGCTTGTGATACTGTAATATAATAAGATATACTTTACCCCCTTTCTGAAGGGGAAAAGGACTGGATATTGAATTAATAATCTATCATGCCTGTATGATGAAGTCATCATAAAAATCCCCAACATACAGAGATCAGAGAGCTTCTGAGTTAGTGATCAGACCCAGATATTGGGAGGACAGCACATATACTTCCGCAGGGACAGAAGCTCTTGTGCTGAGGCCCTCTAGGACTCATCCTAAGCTCCTCTTGCTCTGTATCCTTTGCAATATTCTTTATAATCAAACAGTAAATATAAACATTTCCCTGAGCTCTGTGGCCATTCCGGTAAGTGGTCAAGGCCCAGGTGAGGGTGTGGGAACCTGATTTTTAGCCAAGTTGGACAGAAGTTGTGGTACCTTGGGGATTCACCGCTTGTGGTTAGCATCTGCTGTGGGATGTGGTCTTGTAAGACTGAGCCCTTAATCTATGAGGTCTGCTCTGACTCCAGGTAGACAGCATTCCAACTGAACTGAATTATAGAATAGCCAGTGCTGTACACAGAGAATTTTTCCTGTAATAAATCATTCTATTGGTATCATGGTTCAAAGAACTCTCAACCCAACCCTAAATTCTACAGGCTTTCTCATAACATTGTACAGTTTTATGCTTTATATTTCAATCTATGATGTAGTGTGAGTTAATTTTTATGTAAGAAATGAAATTTAAGTTAAGGTTATTTCTCTTTTTTCTATTGATGTTCAATTGTTTCGGCACCATTTGTTGAAAGATTATCCTTCCTTCATTGAATGGCTTTCATTTTAAAAAAATATTTATTTGAAAGGTGTGGGGTGGGGTGGGGATTGAGAGATTTATTTAATCTACTCGTTCAATAGCCAAATCATTGCAACAGCCAGGGCTGGGCCAGGCTAAAGCCAGGAACTCCATCTGGATCTTCCATGTGAGTGCCAGGTGCCCAAGTACTTGGGCTCTCTTCCACTGCTTTCACAGGTGCATTGCAGGAAATGGGTTTGGAAGCAGAGCAACTAAAACTCAAACCAGTGCTCTAATATGGGATGCCAGCATTACAAGTGGCTGCCTAACACACTGTGCCACAATGCAGCCCTTACTTTTGCCCCTTTATCAGAAATCAGTTGGTTGGAATTGTGTGGGTATATTCTGGGGTTATCCTAGTTCATTGTTCATTTATACAAGTAACACTTGAATAATGTAACTGTTCATGTAATAGGACTTACCTCTGCCATTTCATTTTTTGTTTCTTGTTAAATTTCCCCCCCTTTGCTTTAATTTTCTGGACATCATGTGGGTTATTTGATTATTTCTATAATTTTATTTTGAATTATCTATGGTGCATCTTTTTTTTTTTAAGATTTATTTGTTTATTTGATAGGCAGAATTGTAGAGAAATAAGGAGAGACAGAGAGAACTTGATTTTCTATCTGCTGGTTCACTCCTCAAAAGACCAAAATGGCTGGGGCCTGGGCCAGGCCAAAGCCAGGAGCCCAGAGCTTCTTCCAGGTTTCCCAAGTGGGTACAGGGGTCCAAGCACTTGAGCCACCTTCGGCTGTTTTCCCAAGCTCATTAGCGGAGAGCTGGATGGGAAGTGAAGCAGTCAGGACTCTAACCAGCGCCCATACGGGATGCCGACACTGAAGATGGCAGTTTAACCTGCTACACCGCAGCTCTGGTCCCTGTGGTGCATCTTGAGTGTTTCTATTTGAATAATTTTTATTGGATGCTCTAAGCATTACATTGTATATAGGTAACTTATGGTATACTGGACATTTTTCCCATTCAACTGAAGGGTAGAAACCTCATCTTACTGTTCCCCCTCTATACTATTCTTATCTTAAATGTATCACTGATATATATTGAGAACCATTGCAATTAATGCTATAATATTGCCTTCAATTGTCAAATCTAATTCAGAAACCTTAAGAGGAGTTATGACAATCTATTATATTTACTCATACTTTTCTTCTGTCCATTGTTCTCTCTTCACTCCAGTGTTCCAAGTTTCCTTATTTTATCATTGCTTTCTTTCAAGACATTCTTTTCAGATAAGCCTGCTGGTAACAAATTCTCTTGGTTTTCCTTAACCAGTGTATGTTTTGTTTCACTTCCATTCCCGGGCAAAGAATTCTAAATTGATAGTTCTGTGTTTCAAAAAATGCATTTATTTATTTGAAAGAGTTACAGAGAAAGGAGAGAGAGAGAGAGAGAGAGAGAGAGAGAGAGAGAGATATCTTCAATATGCTGGTTCACTCCCCAAATGGCTGTAATGGCCAGGATGGGCCAGACCAAGCCTGGAGGCAGGAGCTTCTTCTGGGTCTTCCACCTGGGTGGCAGGGGCCCAAGCACTTGGACCATCTTCTGTTGCTTTTCCCAAGCTATTGGCTGGGAGCTGGATTGAAAGTGAAGTAGCTGAGACTCAAACCAGTGTCCATATGGGATGCTGTTGTCACAGCTGTGGTTTTACCCACTGTACCACAACATGGAACCCAAACTGATAGTTCTTTTCTTTCAGCATGTGAAAAATGTCAGGACATTCCTTCTTTGTGCAGTTGTTTCTGATGAGTAATCTGCAGTTGTTCAAGTTGTTTCTCTTTTGGGGAATGTTGTCTGTAGCTATTTTTTCTTTGTGTTTCATCTTCATAGGTTTAATTATAATGTGTCTTGTTGTGGATTTCTTTGGATTCCTCCTGTTTGGGATTCATTCCATCTCTTGAATGAATAGGTTTATTCCTTTTGCTACATTTGGGGAAATTTCAGTATCCTTTAGAATATCTTTTTTTAAGCCCCACAATCTGTCTCCTCTTTTCTGGAACTGTAACTTGTGATTGTTATGACTTTGGCAATTGTAGTCTCTGAGGCTTTAATAATTCTTTTCAGTCTATTGCTTCTCTGTGGTTCAGGTTGGATGCTTTTTATTGCTGTTTTCAAGAGCACTTATTCTTTCCTTTATCATCCCCCTTTTGCTTTATTAAGTCCATTTGGTGAGTTTTAGGTGTCAGTTGATGATATTCAGTTCAAATTTTTTCTTTTGTTCTTCATATTTTCTATTCTTTAATTAAAAAGTTCTAGATTTTTCGTCTGTTTTAAATGCATTTATAATTATTTTCTGAAGCATTTTTATGATGGCTGTTTTAAAATCCTGGTCAG